GGTGGGGAAGGAAGAAGATGGGGGGTAGGTTTGGGGAAAGAGGGGGGGGGGGATGGTCAACGCGCTGGCGGACGATTTTTATGGTGTGTGTTGTACTTCTCGTGTGTTTTCTTCCCCCCCACTGGTCCGAACTGCACGCGCTAGGCAGATGTTTTTTTCGTCGGCTGTTGGCAGTGTGGTATGATATGCTATGTACTGTGTGTGGTGATTGCTTGTTACTCATCTGTCGGGTACATGGTGCGGCATATTGTGTAGCTGACGCCAGCGCCTCCGACAAGCGATGGGCTTGTTTTCGTGCACGACACCCCCGCCCCCTTCCTCTCTCCCACCTCCGCACACTGAAACCAATATGGTAACTAATGCCTGTGTCGTAAGCATATGCCTTCATTTTGTTGTCTGCTGCCGTAGACCTCACTCATTTCGTTCACCCTCCGGCGATCTCCCGTTTCCCCTCCCGCACAAACAGTATCAGTGTGGGTCGCCAGGGGCACCGGTGTCGCACCACAGCGACATTGACGGCTGCACCTGGTCGTACGAAAATACGGTTCCCGATTTGCATGGATCGGAGGACTTGAGCCAGTTCCTGCGCCTCGTGCTGCCCGGCGATTACGAAAACGTGAGTACGCGGTAAAAGGAGATACAGGGGGCCTTCTATAGTGCCGATTGATTAGTGCCGGTAAAATCTCTGGACACAGACAGCGCCCTCAATAGTGCCGGTCCGGCACTATTGAGGGCAGCCCCGGTGTAGTGCCGGTTGGGCACCACAGTACCCCGCAATAGTGCCGGTTTACACACACACACAACACAACACAACACAACACAGCCGGAGGACAGACGCCACACAGAAAACAGGGTTCACGTGCTGCTGCAGAGGTGCACCATGCCTTGTGCGTTTTTTTTTTCTTGCGGTGCGCTTACTGTCGTGCATTTCTTGTTAGTTTTTGTTGTTTTTTCGTCACATCATCGAAGTGGGTGCGCCAGGAAGACATGAGAGAATTTGTGGCGATGTAGTGAGGGCGGTACTACTGTTGTACGTGTTTTTTTTTTTTCTTGCGGTGCGCTTACTGTCGTTCATCTCTTTTTTTTTTGTTTTTTGTTTTTTTGTCGCATCATCGAAGTGGGTGCGCCAGGAAGACATGAGAGAGTCTGTCGCGACATAGTGAGGGCGGGGGGTACAGCTGTACCTATGGTAGTGGTTGTTTGTTTTCTTGCAGTGCGCTGTCGTGTTTTCTTTTTTTCTATTGCATTTTTCTTCCTTTTATCTTGCAACAAACTCTGTGTTCGGCAGGGTGAAACCACACTCGAGGGAAAGTCTGCCCACGCCCACGCTAGAACTTCGCTAATTTCAATTTCGATCCATTTCGTACTCTGCTGGCCCCGCAAAGCGCTAGTGCCACACCATAAAATCAAAATAGTGCCTTAATAGTGCCGGATCGGCACTATTGCGGCACTATTCTGAAAAGTGCCGGTAAAATGTTTGGACACCCCCCCCGCACTATGGAGGGCCCCCCACTGTGGACGGAGCAGGCATGGCAGTAGGGACAACCCCTACCCGTCTGCGTGTTGGTTTGTTCGCACGTGCCCTCGGCGCTTTTTCTTGTCCCCTACAGGTAGTACAGCGTGCGTTTCATACGTATCGTGCCGCTACAACACTGCTGTGCGTCGCAAATCTGACGGGGAGCACAAAGAGCCTCTGCACGATGCCCCCCCATCAAGCAAGTCATCGCTCCACTCGGTCGCCAGTATTCTCAACCTCGTCGCCCGCCTTTCCCTCGTCGCACAGCAACGTTCACGCATGGCTTTTTTAATTTTGTCGATACCCAACGCCCGTGTTGTGCAGACCACCGTGTGCGTGAGCGACGCGGACTGCACCACCGGCATCTGCGGCGTGCACCCCCAGCGCTGGGCGGACGGCTCCTACAAGGGGGGCGTCGAGCAGGGCTCCTGCGGGGAGCACATCGCGTGGGTGACCGCCGGCGGCGCCTGCGCGGGCGGCTGGGAGGACGGAGAGTTCCCGGACGCCCACCCCTTCTTCTGTGGCAGCGAGGTCACCGGCGGCATGCGCTCGCACATGTACGGGTGCTACGGCACCACCCTCGCACACTCGGGGTACACCCCCGGCGCGGACACGACGGCCTGCGGGTGCCCCGAGTGGGAGGAGCCCCCGTACAATCTGACGGCGCCACCGATCTCGGACTGCAACGGCATCAACCCGGAGTGGGTGGAGCTGTCCATGCCCTGGCACGCGCACCAGAAAAGGGCGTGCCCCACCGCCTACACGTTCCCGTACGACGACCAGACGTCGACCTTCACCTGCTTCGACGGCGACGGGCCGGGCAACCCCAACACGCAGAGCTGTGAGTCCAGTGATGGAATGGAATGGGGGTATTTATTTGTGAACACTTTTGTACCATGCACATGAGGAATATTTGTACCAGCACGTTTTTTTTTTGTTTCGTGTCAAACCTGTGGTAGTAGGCTGGATGTATCTGTGGGCCTCCAGCGTTGGGCTGGTCCTGTGCTAACGAGGACCTCACTCAAAGTTCTTTTGGGTGCTATTATAGGATGAAGTTCTCTATTTGATGGTACAAGCAGTACACGTGTTTTCCTGAACGACGCTCACCCCAGTCCCCGCCCTGTCGTCGTCCTGTGTCCCCCACCCCCCTCCCCCCTCTTTCTTGTGGTCTCGACCCGCCTGCCGTACCTGTCATGTACGTCACGTCGACCAGACACCATCACCTTCTGCCCAGGGGATACGGAGGAGAACATGTTCGGATGAGCACAACAGAGGTGAAGGGCCTGGGGGCAGGAGCACGATGGAAATCTTGTTTGGTTTTTGGCTTTTCCTGGTGCTGCACAGGTTGTCCTCCTTTGTTTGATAAAAAAAAAGGGCGTGGATATGTGTATGTACCACGGCGGAGGAGAAGATTAAGATTGTGATCGAGAGAGAGCGAGAATAGACGGAGTGAGGGGAGAATAATAAAAGGACTCGTGAAGGGTTGCCGCCCCGATCCGGCGGAGAGTAGCTTGCTGTTATCTCGAAAGGTGTCTTTGTGCCCTTTTTCTTCGCCCATGGAGTGGCGTCGTCGTCGTAATCGTGTACGCAAGAGGTGTGCGGTGTTGTATTTGGGGGGGCGGGGGCGGGGTCGTTTTTTTTTCCGTCAGTCTTCCTGACGGTATAACTCATCCACGAATAGTTGTTTGTCTCGGATTTTGCTCCTCTTTGTTTCAACACGCGGTTCTGTTCGTTTTTGCGTCCGCGGGGGAGGGGGACGGGAAATATGATTTCCGCTGTGTCATGTTATACGTGGCATTTTGGCAGACGTGTGTTTCACGACACTGTCTGTGGTGGTGGTTGGTTCTGTTAGTGAAGCTGTCTCTGCCCGGCGGTGTTTGTTGGAGCATACATGGTCGTTGCCGTGCCGCGTCGGTGTGGCGGCGCGTAGTTGACATGACCTCTCGATGACGAGTTGAACGCATGTGTTTGGTGGCTGGCTTCGGGGAGCATGTCTCTGCCTTTTTTTTCTTCCGGGTTTTGAATGTCGTGGGTGCTCGAGCCGTAGAGGTGCAGGAGGGACGGTTCCCATTGGCCTACGCTTGCTGTTGGGCCGTAGATTTTACCGAACGCCCCCCC